GGATATCGATAAATTCATAACATTCATAACAGAGATTCATTCACAAACGAATCGATCCCTCAGTTGGAATTAGAAGTGAAAGCAGGGGACGAGGTGTGTTTCAGAACATGGATTAGATCAAATTTAACAGGGAGGGTGGGTAATACATTTCCATGCTCACAAACACATGCTATTTGTTGGCAACGCCCATGCGGTCACTTATCCACAACCCCTCGTCCTCCATAATTCTCATAATAGTCTCACCCGTGATCTACTACAGATATACGATATGTGGGCTGATATAAGATTAATGTTCCCAGCCCATGTTCCCTTCTTCCCAGGAAAGCACAGCGAGCACAGTGGTCCAGAACCACCACCCTTGCCTTACCCTGGCAGATATTCACCATACCGACAAAGTGTGCTTTCTTGGAGCATTTATATGCCAGGCAAGCCTACTTTGCAGTCTTTTGTGGTGAGAGATCAGCCATGATGGAGTAGGTCATGTCTTGGTGGGCTCAGAAGACTGCTCCCCCACCGAACCCATCTGCGCTGGCTGTTCCTCGCTGAAAGCGATCTTTCTGCAGCTCCAAGATGCTCCACCGTCACAACTGGTTCCACTGGCTAGTGAATGCGAACGCTAGTGAATGCAGGAAGTTGACACTCCCGTCACCGTTAAGTCAGGTAATCGTAGGGCGAACCGAACCTGGTGCGGGCTGCTTGGAGAGGAGGAGAACCGTTCTTTCCCCAGTGAATGGCCGGGACTCCCCCTGCAAATGAATGTAGCGATCCAAAAAAGAGCGGCTTTTCCTCCCTCCGGGTGTGGAAGCCCAAATGCCAGCATGGGACGTGCTGCCTTCCAGCTCTAAGCTTTGGTGCACTTCACCACTGGCTTTTGAGGGCGCCAGATGACGGGCTCTTTTCTCTGGCACCTCCAGCCTCTTTGTGGGATCCTGGAAGGAAAGTAAGTCAGTCTCTTATTTTCAGCTCTGCCTCAGGACGCTCTGCTTCCTGGGATGGGTACTCCCCATCCCAAATCTGCCCCTCCTCCATTGTTCTGATGATGCTGCTCATTCGGACTCTGTCAGCTTAGTTAGCACCGCTCAGCCCATCATTGTAGCTCACACAAAAGGTCAGACTCGTCTATGTGTTGGCCTCCCAAGTTGATGGTAGATCAACCATTTTGGGAGATGTGCCCTATGGCCATATGCCTTAGCTCATTCGGCTGTACACTGTTTATATCCCGGACAAGCGCAACCTGCCCCACTTTCATGACAGTCACGTTCCCGAGAGAATGGAGACTAGACATGGTCCAGCTGTTATGGGCATGCTTCAGAGAAACCCAAGTCATCCCAAGCATCCCTTCGCTAGCTGAAATTCCTGCTCTGCACGAATACCCTGGCTCTTAGCTGGCCCCGGGAATATGCGATATGCACTTTTGCCCCCAGTGAGCCTGTTTGCACAAACTCTGTGCAAGGTCGGGGAGACGAGAAGCGGGTCTCGCTTGTTGTGCCTCCAAGGCCCAACCGGACCCGAGTTTCCGGACTCACACTCCTCGTGACAGTCCTCCCTGACAAAATCCCCACTGGAAGCACTTCCTTTCTCTGGGACAGGCACCCTCTGGCACCCGTGCAGGGTTCTGGAACCTCCATGGATGGTTTCTAGACAGAGCATGGAGGACTTACGTGACCTACAACTCTTAGGAAACAACTGCTCATGAAAATGAATGCTATGATCATATGTTACCAATGTTATAATTTTTAATGTACAGAGTCGATTTTTTAAAGGTCAGCGAGAGGCTATACCATTTCAGTTCAGCAAAATTTTTACCATGAATTTCAGGCTGATTTCTCCATCACTGAATTTTTATTTAGTATTTATCAAGTTTTTGTAGGTAGAAACTTGCTCGTCACAAAAATAATGACAAAAAAAATTGTCAATGAAATGAACAATGATTGGAGTGCAGAGGTAGCTGTTGTGTATCAAGTTAGGGCAGCTGTGCTCTGTTCGTTACCTCTCTCTTCTGGAGGATGCGAATGAGCGAGAGAGAGGGAGAGGTGGGAAAGTAAGCATGTGAGGATGTTTCCTCTCTCACAGCCCTCTCAGTTGGATTACCCAGACTGATGTTTACCCAACTTCGTATCTGTTTGCGTACAGATATTGTGACCTGGAAAGCAAGGACAACACAAGGGTAGAGTCAATCACATAATAAAGACGAAGCTTACCAACAACTGGATGACAAAGGCAGAATGAAAAAAAGCCGTGTCCTGTCACTATTTGTTTTATTCTGACCACTACATTTTTTTTATAGGAGTTCTTTTTGCACCTAGACATGTTTTAAAAATTTGCTTATTTAATCTGCAAGTTAAAATACTTTGTTTCATTTAACTATCTACGTCTCACTTAATCCTAAAACCTCCTCTTCATAAAATGTTCTCAGTATTTCCTATTATTTTTTTTGTATTTTAATATTTTGTAATATTATTTAAATATCTGCAATATTTAAATAGTCTTATTTAAGTTTTTATCGGAAATAAAAAGAGCTACACGTTTTAAAACATTTTTGAGGTCAATAAAAATTTATGTTTTAGTCATCTGAAATTCCTAATAATGTACATATTTATCAGTTAATACTATTTTTTTATTATCCTTTTTTATTTAAGTTTTAGGTAGTTTAACTCTAATATTCCTGAACCGGATGATAAACATTACATGTATGTAAAGTAACATCGACCTTGTCTTTGTCCTGAAAAATAGGATTAAAGACAACAATAACAGGAAGATTTGCTTCATATTTGATGTTAAAACATGTTTATGGGACATTTTGTAAACGGATTTTTCCTCCTCAAAAGAAAATTCTTCATTTTTGATGTTATAACATACCCTTGACCCCACTGTTTAGTGTTTTTGTCCGAGGATTAGTTGCAGCAATTTTACATGGTTGTTTGTGCTTTAACATTTTGCTTCTGAACTCTTCCATTTGTTTGCTGTGGAATAAAAGCACATTAGAGGATCTACTGATTATAATTTGTATGACTAAATCGTGTCTTATGTTTTTTCCCAGTACTGGGTTGCAGCTGGACGGGCATCCACTGTGTAAAACATATGCTGGAATAGATGGCAGTTCATTCATCTGTGGCAATAATTGTTTTAAGTGTACAAACTTTAAAATAGAAAGATTACTTGCAATTTTTAAAGTCACCAAGACAGTGTGCAAATTACTGGACTATATATGTGTGTGTTCAATAAAATATACATGACATGATTGACTTGTTTTGCCATTATTGATCATTTCTGTGTCAATATCAATACTGAATCATCATCAGTTATGTAGTTGTCCCACCCCTACACACACACTTTAAAACTTAGCCCGTATATTATATTTTACTATTTCTCCCTGTTTAGGCCTTTTGTCCATAACGAAAACACATCTTTTTAAAAACACTCTGCAAAGGGGTTAAGTTTTAAAATAAACATGTCCCAGTATGGACTGTGTTAATGGAGGCCTTTAAAAACAATGTTTAGTCATGTGACCAATTCAGTTAAAATGGTGAGCCACATACAATGTCAGTTTGATTTTTCCAAAGGACAATGGATGTTAACTCAGAGCTGTTGTTCTGGCACTGCTGCCAGTAAATATTCTTGCTCACATTTGCACTGTCACATCATTTATGTTTTTTCTCGCCAAATTTCAAAGGGCTGGAAACTAAGTAAAAGGTGGGCGGAAATGACACAGAGCAAACTTAGCAATTCCTGATGACGGTAAACACTCTTTGCTGTTTCTGTCACCTATTCTCTTTCATTCTTTGTAGGAAAATATGCATCATGGTTGATATAAAAACAAAAGCTTTGCATTTGGAGATTTTTTTTTGTCCTTGTCAAGATCAAAATATAAAAACAATCAAATAATATTATTATTTGACGTTATACACTAACATGTCCTTGAAGTTTTCTTTTGTGTTCACTGCAACTGTAAGACACTCGTTTTCAAGGTTCATCATAATCCCTTCATCTTCACTGTTTCACTTCTGAACTAGTGTAATATTCAGAAAACACATCTACAAACTAATAATACAAAAAAAGAGTTGATATTACATTGAAAGATGCAAATAATAATAATAAATAATCACACAAATAATCTACTCTAATAATATATTTTAGAGGTAGAGGTCCTACGCAGAGCATCTCTCCTTGGGTTTGAGCTGGACTTGATCACCATGCTGAGCTGATGCTGACCTGTCTGAGAGAGTTCGACTAAAAAACTGACCTCCCACTGAAATTATTTCAGAGGCTCCTCGGGCATATGGGATCTGCAGCCGCTGTCGTGACACTTGGATTGCTCTATGAGACTGCTTTGGCATTGGCTTCATGATCAGGTCCCAAGACATGCATGGCATACGCGCACACACCTGGTGGCTGTCACTCCGCTGTGTTTCCACACCCTCAGACGGACCTTGCATTTCTATAGGCCTGTGTGCCTCTAGAACAAGTGTCCAGGCATGCCGTCAGTCCGACAGATGCTTCCAGTATGGGCTGGAGGGCTGTGTGTAACACAGCTCAATCACGCAGGTTTTCACTTTACAACATTAGAAAGATCAGACCCTTTCTGACTGATCATGCTGCACAACAATATCAACACCTCCAATATGCAACAAAACATGACCTTTAACCTCTATGATTTGCATTCTGCTGCTGACCTGAAACTTTCAGAGAGGGTTAATTTATTACTGTACACAGGAATTCATGCATAGCCATATGTGGCAGCTCAATGCACAGCCATCACTGCTGATGAGTATTTATGATAAGCAATGTCATGCGGTTTTCTGGGGGTACCAACACATTGCGGTCGAGTGTGTTGATGTGTACTTCCACATCAAGTATGCAGAAGTAAATGCATCCTGCATCCTCCCCTTGTGTAAAACATCGGTGTGTATTCATTTGCCAATGTGTGTACATATAAACAAGGGATGAGTGTGTGAGTAGGAGGAAAGCCTACAAAAGGAGACTCGAGACACCTGAAAGGTAAGAAGGAGAAAGAAAGAGAAGTGGAGTATGAAACAGTTAAGGGGGATACAGCTCATTAATCAGTAATACACACTTGGTTATTTCCAGATTTTTGCCTTAGCTTGTTCTATAAGAGTGGACGAAGGATTCAGTAGCAGGAGGACCAGCGGACGACGCAAGATCTCCTCTCAGACTCTCCAGCAGGTAATATTTACTGTTTGCTAAGTGTGCAATATCCTGAGGTGTTCATGCACATACAGCATCCTATCTCATGCATAACAATAGTTTGTCTCTAAATACTCTAGTCTGTTGTTCAACATGTTCTTGTTAGTCCTCGTTTGAAATGATGTAGCAATCACTTCACAATGAAGCCACTGTTCACTATTTTCCTGCTTCTGGTAACTGATATTGTTTCCTTCTCTTCACAGACTCAAAGATGACTCGCTCCTTAAGAGACTGGTTCAAAGATTACAGGTTAGAGCAACGCAGTCACAAAAAACGAGTCGTCACCAAAGATGGCCGCTGCAACATCAAGTTTGGCAACGTGATGCACAGAAACCGCTTCACCTACGTCCTCGACTTTTGGACCACCTTGGTGGAAACCCGATGGCGGTTCATCATCTTCTATTTTGTGGCATCCTACACCCTTAGCTGGTTCATCTTCGGACTCTTGTGGTACTGGTTAGCAAGAAGCAATGGTGACCTGTTGTGGCAGAATCCACCACCAGATCACAACCCATGCGCTTACAGCCTTAATGATATGACTTATGCCTTCCTCTACTCGTTGGAGACCCAAGGCACAGTTGGGTATGGCAATGTATATGTCACTGATCAATGTCCTGGAGGTGTGGCTCTAATTATAATCCAGATGATCGTAGGACTCTTTATCCGTATCTTCTGGGGTGGTATAGTTATAACCAAAATCACCCTTCCAAAAAAGAGAGCCAAGACCATCACCTTCAGTGAATCTGCTGTCATCTGCCCCAAAAAAGGCACTCTTTGCCTTCAAATCCGTGTTGCCAACCTGCGCAAGACCTTAATGATCGGCAGTCAGATTTACGGGAAGCTTCTGAGGACAACAGTCACTGGAGGTGAAACCAACATCTTGGACCAGGTCAGCATCAATTTCATGGTGGACGCCGGTAAAGACAATCTGTTTTTCGTGTGTCCTTTAACCCTGTACCACATCATTGACAAAAGCAGCCCATTTTTCGACATGGCTGTGGACACGATGCATCAGCAGGACTTTGAGCTTGTGGTTTTCCTGGATGGCATGGCCGAAACCACCAGCTCCTCCTGCCAGGTCAGGACTTCATACATCCCTCAGGAGATCATGTGGGGCTATGACTTTCTCCCGATCATCTCCCGCAGTAAAGAGGGAAAATACCGAGTGGACTTTTCCAACTTTACCAAAGTGGTGCCTGTTCCTACCGCACATTGCTCCCGCTGCTACCACAATGAGCCCGGAAACCATCTCGAGGGCACTGACAACAAGAGTTTTGAGGTGTTCGACATGGAGCTTCCCAACGGCAACAAAATGTAATGCTTTTTGACTGACTGACTGACAATATCTTGCACTAGCCAGAAACATTGAACACTATGTCACAATCCCAGTTCTATCCCTTAGCTCATCCCCTTACCCCTCATTTTGCCTATTAATGTGAAGGCGTAGGGGTTTCCCAATTTTCTTTAGCTTGAAGGCCTTGGTCTAAGGGGAAGAGCTAGATAGCCCTTGAAATGGAGATTTTCCAGGACCACACTAGAAATCGAAAGGGTACGAAAATTTCCCAGAACACAGCAGCTACAACAGCAACATGGCTGCATACGTCAGGAGATGCACAAATTTGAGTGTTGTTTTGGTATTAGTGTTTTTTTGACAAACAAGCATATGCTTTAATACATTCATTACGGCGTTTATGTTTTACGATCATGCTTTCACAATATATATTAAAAAAGCAGAAAATTTCACCATCTATAATCCATAATAACTGCTGTGTAGACATCTGTCACTCGATGACTCTCGAATGTCCTGTCAGAAATGTCTAGTGGCTGGAATTACCTTTTTACAGTGTCTGGTGTTGTTTTGTTGTGTTTGCATATATAAATATGGCCATGGTGTAAATAGACAAGACAATTACGAGCTAATTGCCACATTATATCATTATAATAACGTGATATTGTTGCTTTCTGTGATTTTCTTGAAGACAAAGACCAAACAATGCAACAGGAATAACTACAGCAGTCACCATCATTGATCTCATACAGTATGAAGGAAGAGCTCGCGACGGGATATGCTGACATGTGCTGGTGTTTTGGTGTGTTGTCCCATTTCTTAAGGGTAAATTTAAAGGCCTCCCATCTCACATGCTGTTTCAAGAGACAAGGGGAAGGGGTAAGGGTAAAACAATAGAATTGGGAATGGGCGTAATGCTTTAAGTCCTTCATTGTGGTGATGAGAGACGAGATGAGAGTTTTAATCTCTTGATTGGTATTTGAATAGTAACACTGCAGGAATTAATTTCTTTTATCACATGTATTGCTTTACTCTGCACACAAACAATGTTTTTTTTTTGTGTCTTTCACCTAAAAGAATTTTAACGTGTGAGTTGTGGAGTTAAACTATGGTTCTGTTCTTCTGTTACGTACTGTAGACATTGAATTGGATGTTGAAGTATTACCTGGAAATTCATCATTAAAAGATTTATTTTTTTAATCATCTTTATCTCAGATTCCAGCCGGTGCTTTTGTGAATCACTCTGGGATGTTGTATCTTATTACAATTGTACATTTCTTGTAAATTTGCATTGGTGACTGTGTAAATAAAATTTGTACTTTATTTATAAATAAAAAAGGAATCATGTTTAATGTTTTTTTTTTCTTCATTGAAATGGCATTATAAGAACGCCAGCAGTCAACCATTTTTCACTGTAAAGTCACCACATAAAGGCATACAAATACAGATGACAAACTCAGCTTGCCAAAGTCTAGGAATTATATACAGTTGTGTCCAATTTAAAGTAAATATTGGTTCTGATAACAAAAAAAAATCAATAAGAAATTCAAAGCATTTACAAAAAAAATCTTAATATGTAAACATTATATATCTTATTTGTTATATTTTACAGTGAATATAAATGCATTATTTAATATTATAGGTTATATGCATGTCATCCATGTTTCTAAATATGTAATAAATAATCTCTATAATTCTTCTTAATGTAATGGTAACACTTTAGAAAAGGCACTAGCAAGTGTGATCTCCTTAGCACACGGCTGCAAATTATCCGGTCTGTGTGGTTTGGCTTATAAATACTTTTTTTTTTAATCTATATTTATTCATTTTTTTGCGTATAAACGTGTGTGACAGTTGTTTTTTCACTGTGCTGCATCATATTCTTCTTCTGTTAGTGTAAGTGAACATCTTTTTGCAGTTTGTGTTTTGTCTGGCACACTTCACCTCTGTCATTTTAGTCTGCCGCCCCACCTCTTGCTTGCCACTGATGTGCAGGTAAAGCGAGTTTGGGCCTGTAAACACAGCACCCCCTCTGTTTAAATCATATATCGCGATTTATTCAACATTTCTACCAATTTGAATCGTCACATATTTGAATACATTTTTAATCGGCTCACGATGAATCGTTACATCCCCACTCATAATATAGTTTAATCAGACAGACGCCCTTATGGATTATGATGTAATCGCATCCTGCGTCTATGTGAATCAGTTACTTTTCAAATGTGTGTGTGTGTGCATTACACACCAAGATTATTTCTGATTGGATAATTACCAAAATACATCCCCAATCTCATTTCTTTTTTATTAGTCAATGAAAATGTCGGTATATTTTTGTTAGCTGTTGTCAACATCACTTAAGGTTTTATTTAGTTTTCGTCTAGTTTTTGTGCATGGGTAAAAAAAATTTAGTCAACAAAATTAACACTGATTGGAGTTCAGAGGAAGCTGTGGTGTGTCATGTTAGGCAAGCTGCGCTCGGTTCTGACTCTGATGTGCTCATCTCAGCCTTCACACAGCACCTCCTTACCTCTCTCTCCTGGAGGATGAGAATGAGCGAGAGAGAGGAAGGGATGTGAAAGTGAGTATGAGAGGATGTTTCCTCTCCCACAGCCCCCTTCGTTGGATTACCCAGACTGATGTTTACCCAACTTCGTATCTGTTTGCCTGCATATGTTTAAATTGAATTGTTGTGACCTGAAAAGCAAGGACAACACAAGGGTAGAGTCAATCAAATAATATAGACAAAGCATACCAACAATAACAACTAGGACTGGATATTTGTTTCATTCTGACCACTAAATGTGGAGGAAAAAGCCTTTGGATGTTTATTTTTATAGTTCTTTATTACACCTAGACATGTTTTAAAAATTGACCGATTTAATCTGCAAGTTAAAATACTATGTCTCATTTAACTATCTATGTCTCACTTTATCCTAAAACCTCCCCCTTATAAAAATTTCACAGTATTTCCTAACATTTTTTTGCTTTTTATAATATTATTTTAGTATTTTTTTAATATATAAAATAACAATAAAAATATATGCACTGTCATCATCACAAAGTCAAATTAGTTATTATAACTATTAAGTTTAGAATTATGTTAAAAACATCTGTTATGCAATATTTTTAAAATAATTGAAATTTCACAGGGGATTTCGACTTCAGTTTAGTTTTCCATATATTTAACTGTATAAAATATTTTTTGGTAAATTACGTAAAACAGAAAATTTAGAAAATTCAGAAAGGTTTTGGTAAATTTTAATATTGTCCATATTTATCAGTTAATACTTATTTTGTAATTTATTTCTATTTTCTTTTTTAATTGGTTTTAGTTAACTCTAATAACCCTGAACCTGAAGATAAACATTACCAACGCAATCTCACGGCTATTCGTAACTTTTTGATTTAGAGGGTAATTCGTATTAATTCATATGATCTAATTCGTACAATTTAGTATGATTTGCTCATCAACCAATGACAGTTGGGGTTAGGGGTGGAGATTTGTGCCACGCCTCCTTTTTAAAATCGTACATTTTTGTACGACTGAACTTCGTACAAATTAGCCACTAAACTGACAAAATGTAAAATACGTTTCCTCGTGAGATTAGGCTGACATTACATGTGTGTAAAGCACAGGTGTCGAACTCAGTTCCAGGAGGGCCGCAGCCCAGCACAGTTTAGTTCCAACGCTGCTTCAACATACTTACCTGAAGGTTTCAAACAAGCCTAAAGAATCTAATCACTGTGATCAGATGTGTTTAATTAGGGTTGGAACTGAACTGTGCAGAGCTGCGGCTCTCCAGGAACTGAGTTTGACATCCATTTTGTAAATCGACCTTGTCTTTGTCCTGAACAATAGGACTAAAGACAACATCAACAGGAAGATTTGCTTCATATTTAATGTTAAAACATGTTTATGAGACATTTTTGATGTTATAACATACCCTTGACCCCACTGTTTAGTGTTTTTGTCCGAGGATTAGTTGCAGCAGTTTTACAAGGTTGCTTGTGCTTTAACATTTTGCTTCTGAACTCTTCCATTTGTTTGGCGTAGAATAAAAACTTTTAAAATAAACATGTCGCAGTATGGACTGTGTTAATTGAAGCTTTCAAAAATGATACTACTTTTAACTTCAGTTAAAATGGTGGGCGACACACAGTGTCTGTTTGCTTTTTCCAATGGACAATGGATGTTAACTCGGAGCTGTTGTTCTAGGATGACTGCCAGTAAATATTCTTGCTTAAATTTGCACTGTCACATCATTTATGTTTTTCCTCACAAAGTTTTAAAGAGCTGGAAACTAAATAAAAGGCGGGCGGAAATGAGAAAGCAAACTTAGCAATTCCTGATAACGGTAAATACTCTTTGCTGTTTCCGTCACCTTACAAGTCTTTCCTTTTCTCATTTATTCTACTTAGGAAAATGAGCATCATGGTTGATATAATAACAAAAGCTTTGTGTTTGCTGATTTTGTTTTTTGTTCTTGTCAAGTTTAAAACATGAAAATAATCAAATATTATGGTTTGAGGCTATACAGTAACATGCCCTTGAAATTCTGTTTTGTGTTCACTGCAGCTGTAGGACACTCGTCCCAAGGTTTGTTGTAATCCCTGCATCTTCACCATTTCACTTCTGACCTGGTGTAATATTCTGAAAAAACACTGCTACAAATAGAGTAGACATTACCATGAAAGATGCAAATAATTATCATAAATAATCACATAAATAATTTGCTCAGAAGTGGAAACTTTTTTAACTGAATAATTTGTATGATGGCTCAGACGTTTCAGAAACAGTTTTGATCATTGCTTATTTTGTCTTGTAATTTAATAAAAATATGCAAACATGATTCTTTTACGCACATAAAGATTGTACATTCATTTATTTTCTTGTCGGCTTAGTCCCTTTATCAATCCGGGGTCGCCACAGCGGAATGAACCAGCAACTTATCCAGCACGTTTTTACGCAGCGGATGCCCTTCCAGCCGCAAGCTATCTCTGGGAAACATCCACACACACACATTCACAAACACACTTATACACTACGGACAATTTACGGACACTATGGACACTTACCCAATTCACCTGTACCGCATGTCTTTGGACTGTGGGGAAAACGAGCACCCGGAGGAAACCCATATGAACGCAAGGAGAACATGCAAACTTCACACAGAAACGCCAACTGAACCGAGGCTTGAACCAGCGACCCAGTGACCTTCTTGCTGTGAGGCGACAGCACTACCTACTGCGCCACTGCTTTGCCCAAGATTGTACATGCCTAATGCTTTTTTTCAGCCTTTTTCTTATACAATATCAAAAAATAGCCAAAAAAAAAGCAAGGCATTTCATGGTTCACGAAAACGTAGCCCTGAGCACACATTTCCAATTAGCCTGGATTGGGATCTGCACTACCCACAGGATATCTCTAAATGAATGAAAGAGCATCACCTACAGATTAATCTTGTCAAAGTTACCCGGCTTTTCCATTCATTAACCACAATCTGACTGGAGGTTTCGAATACCAGAAAAATAGACTTTATTGATATATAAAGCCAAGGTGTCTAAAAACAGACCTTCAGGACAACCTGGAGTTTCCCCTAGAGCAGGGGTGTCCAAACTCGGTCCTGGAGGGCCAGTGTCCTGCATAGTTTAGCTCCAACTCCCTTCAACTCTCCTCCCTGAAAGTTTGTAGTTTACCTTGATTAGCTTGTTTAGGTGTGTTTAATTGAACTAAAATCTGCAGGACACCGCCCTCCAGGACCGAGTTTAGACACCCCTGCCCTAGACCATCTGAATCTTATGTGTTTATGGTCTTGCTTTTATACAGTTTTTTTCTCGTTTGAACTCTCACCAACTTTGGATGAGTTTTCACTTTACTGGAAGGTCAAGTATATGTTTAGGCGGTCCTGTTATTCTTGGCTCTGCCTTCTCTGCAATGCTAATGACTTTCTCCCCACAGTTGTTCATAACTTGTTTTGAGTATCTTTATATATTGTCATGATGGTACATTAACTTGATAATATGTTACTTACTCTCGTGAGTGTCTTTCACAGATACAGCTTCATATGAGTATTTATCATATATAATAATAAGTGCTGTACATATTCAGTTATTCTATAGCATAGCTTCTTATAGCAGGCTCCAGCACCTCTCTGGGCTCATTTTTACACACACACACACCTACCACAGTATCTTTAGTTTACATGCTTGCATGTTTGCTGCAGACTCTTTGCTGCACACTTTTAAGAATACTTATAGAGACACTACTGCACACTTTTAGAGAATAAAAATCTGTCAATCTACATAAAGTACAACCTCCATCCATCTGGGATCATCTGCTATATCCCATCTACTACCAACACATTGCAGTCGAGTGTGTTGATGTGTACTTCCACATCAAGTATGCAGAAGTAAATGCATCCTGCATCCTCCCCTTGTGTAAAACATCGGTGTTTATTCATTTGCCATTTTGTGTACCTATAAACAAGGGATGAGTGTGTGAGTAGGAGGAAAGCCTACAAAAGGAGACTCGAGACACCTGAAAACTAAGAAGACAGAAAGAGAAGTGAAGTATGAAACAGTTAAGGGGGATACAGCTTATTAATCAGTAATACACACTTGTTAATTTTCAATTTCCTGCTTTAGATTGTTCTATAAGAGTGGACGAAGGATTCAGGAGCAGGAGGACCAGCGGGCGACGCAAGATCTTCTCTCAGACTCTCCAGCAGGTAATATTTACTGTTTGCAAAGTGTGCAATATCCTGAGGTGTTCATGCACATACAGCATCCAATCTCATGCATAACAATTGTTTGTCTCTAAATACTCTAGTCTGTTGTTCAACATGTTCTTGTTAGTCCTCGTTTGAAATGATGTAGCAATCACTTCACAATGAAGCCACTGTTCACTATTGTCCTGCTTCTGGTAACTGATATTGTTTCCTTCTCTTCACAGACTCAAAGATGACTCGCTCCTTAAGACAGCGATTCAAAGATTACAGGTTAGAGCGACGCATTCGCAAAAACCGACTGGTCACGAAAGATGGCCACTGCAACATTGAGTTCGGCAACGTGTTGCACAAAAATGGCTTTGCCTATGTCCTTGACTTCTGGACCACCTTGGTGGAGACCCGATGGCGGTTCATCCTTTTGTATTTTGTGGCATCCTACTCCCTTAGCTGGCTCATCTTCGGACTCTTGTGGTACTGGTTGGCCAGAAATAATGGCGACCTGTATTGGCAGAATCCACCACCAGATCATAAACCATGCGCTATCAACGTTAATGATATGACTAATGCCTTCCTCAACGCGTTGGAGACACAAACCGGAATGGGGTGTGGCAATTTGTTTGTCACTGATCTATGTCCTGGATCTGTGGCTGTACTTACAATCCAGATGGTCGTAGGACTATTTATCGGTATATTCTGGTGTGGTATAGTCATGACCAAAATCACCCTTCCAAAGAAGAGAGCCAAGACCATCACCTTCAGCAAATCTGCTGTCATCTGCCCCAAAAAAGGCACTCTTTGCCTTCAAATCCGTGTTGCCAACCTGCGCAAGACCTTAATGATCGGCAGTCAGATTTACGGGAAGCTTCTGAGGACAACAGTCACGGGAGGTGAGACCGTCATCCTGGACCAGGTCAGCATTGACTTCATGGTGGACGCCGGTAAAGACAATCTGTTTTTTATGTGTCCTTTAACCCTGTACCACATCATTGACAAAAGCAGCCCATTTTTCGACATGGCTGTGGACACTTTGCATCAGCAGGACTTTGAGCTTGTGGTGTTCCTCGACGGCATGGACGAATCCACCAGCTCCTCCTGCCAGGTCAGGACTTCATACATCCCTCGGGAGATCATGTGGGGCTATGACTTTCTCCCGATCATCTCCCGCAGCAAAGAAAGAAGATACCGAGTGGACTTTTCCAACATTGCTAAAGTTGTGCCTGTTCCTACCGCACATTGCTCCCGCTGCTACCACAATGAGCCCGGAAACCATCTCCATCTCCATGGCACTGACACCAAGAGTGTTGAGGTGTTCGACATGGAGCTTCCCAAAAGCACCAAAATGTAATGCTTTTTGACTGACTGGTCAACATCTGGCACTATGCATTGAACACTACGTCACAATCCCAGTTCTATCCCGTTTTACGCATTCGCAAGAAGGCGTAGGGATGTCCCAATTTTCTTTAGCTTGAAGGCCTAGGGCTAAGGGAGCTAGACAGCCCTTGAAATGGAGATTTTCCAGGACCACACTAGAAATCAAAGGGTACGAAAATTTCCCAGAACACAGCAGCAACAACAGCAACAGCATAATGTTTTGTGCCTTTAATGTTATGTCTTTCATTGTGGTGATGAGAGGCAAGAGAAGCGTTTCAATCTCTTGACTGGTACTTGAATAGTAACACTGCAGGAATTCATTTCTTTTATTTTTGTATTGCTTTACTCTGCACAAAAAAACAATGTTTTTGTGTCTTTCACCTGAAAAATTGTAAAAGTACAAGTTGTGAAGTAAAACTATGGTTCTGTTCTTCTGTTACATACTGTAGACATGGATTTGGATGTTCGAGTATTAATTGGAAATTCATTGATAAGAGATTTATTTATTTAGTTCCCTTTTTCTCAGATTTCAGCCGGTGCTTTTGTGAATCACTCTGGGATGTTGTTTCTTATTACAATTGTACATTTCTTGTAACTTTGCATTAGTGAATGTGTAAATAAAATTTGTACTTTATTTATAAATAAAAAAGGAATCATGTTTAATGTTTTTTTCCAGCTTTCACAGTAAAAGTCAACACACAAGGGCATAAAAATACAGGTCTAGCAGTGCCTTTGGCAGTGAAGCCCACATTGCAGCACGATGAGCAGGTTCTAAGCTTTGATATCACTGATGTCCTCAAGGCCCTAAAATAAGTAAATTCTGTTAAGGCTACAGGGCCTGACAAAATACCAGGCAGAGTTCTAAAAGGGTGTGCAGAACAACTTGCACAAGTACTGACGGACATATTTAATGTCTCCCTGCATCAAGCTGCTTTGCAATCATCCTAAAAAACATCTGCTATCTTCCTAGAGCCAGAAAAGCCTTCCGTCACTTGCTTAAATGACTATCGGCCAATAGCTTTAACTTCATTGATAATGAAATGCTTTAAGAGACTAGTTAATAATCAGATCACCTCCATCCTGCCCAATTCACTTGACCCATTTAAGTTTGCCAGTTCTGCCAAACAGGTCTACTAATGATGCTATATCCACTGCACTGCATCTGAGCCTGGAACACTTGGAGGGTAGAAATACATTGGTATGAATGCTGTTAGTTGATTTTAGCTCTGCTTTTAATACTTAAATTCCTAAGCACCTGGTCAATAAATTGGCATGCGTATGTCTGAATACACCACTTCAGAACTGGAGTCTTGACTTTTTGACAAATAGGCCACAGTTTGTGCGAGCAGAGGGTATTTCATCATCTACCACTCAGCTGAACAAAGGCTCCCCTCAGGGGTGCGTCTTGAGTGCACTTCTCTACACTCTGAAGACCCATGATTGTTGTGCGAAACGTAGCACTAATCAAATTATTAAATATGCTGATAACACCACAAAAGTGGGTCTCAACCGGGATAATGATGAGAGGAACTACAGGGAGAAAGGGAAGCTCTTTGCAGTGTGGTGCAGCGACAACAACTAGGTTCTGAAAACCAAGGAGTTGGTGAACAACTTCAGGAAGAATATTAACAACACCGCTGTGGAGACTGAACAGCAGGTAAAATTCCTGGGGGTCCATGTTACTGAGAACTTGGCTTGGTCTCTCCATACTACTTGTCTTGCAAAGAAAGCACAATAGCCACTGCACTTTCTGGGAAGGTTAAAACCAGCACACCTCAGCCCATCAATCCTCACAACGTTTTACAGAGGACCTGTTGAGAGTGTTTTCACTAATGCCATCTCTCTTTGGTATGAGAATAGCAGTGTATCTGACAAGAACACAATTTATATGCCACAGCCATATCACCCTGCAGCCCAAGACCACTTAATCACTGAAGCTAAGCAGGGCTGAGGCTGGTCAGTACCTGGATGGGAGACCACATGGGAAAGCTAGGTTGCTGTTGGAAGTGGTGTTAGAGAGGCCAGCAGGGGGAGCTCAACCTATGGTCTGTGTGAGTCCTAATGCCCCAGTAAAAGTGAAGGGGACACTACACTGTCAGTGAGCGCCGTCTTTCGGATGAGATGTTAAACCGAGGTCCTGAATCTCTGTGGTCATTAAAAATCCCTTGGCACTTCTCGTAAAGAGTAGGGTGTCCTGGCCAAAGTCCCTCAATCGGCCCTTCCAATCATGGCCTCCCAATCATCCCCATCCACCGAATTGGCTTTATCACTGTCTCTCCACTCCCCCAATAGCTGGTGTGTGGTGAGCGCACTGGCGCCGTTGTCCTGTGGCTGCTGTCGCATCATCCAAGTGGATGCTGCACACTGGTGATGGTATGGAGAGTGTATAGCCATACACAATAAATGCTATATATAAATACACACATTACATTACGAAGATAATAAAGTCAGCTGAAAGGTATGTTGAAGTCAAAATTACATTTATTAAGGAACTGTATCAACAACGCTGTCTGCCTAGAGCAAATAGCATTTTAAGGGATCCAACTCCACTAACTTCCAGTATGGGCTCGTAGCATTTCAATTGCCTGGAGCTGTTGGCAATGTTTCTCGCTTTCTGCCTACCGGTACAGGAGGGGAAACATGTTAGATGTATGGTTGGATAGCGTAGATTAACCACTTTCTTGAATAGCTAACGGAGACATGTGTCTGCTCCGATGCCACAGCAGCTGAGTTTCCAGCTGTTAGCTGAGTGATCGGCTCTTCAGCAGGCAAATATCTAAATGCTGACTTCACAGGAGGCATCTGAGATACTCTATTATTGACTAACTGCTGACACCGGTGGAGCTGAGCTCTGCTAATTCATATTATTTTAGTGTTTTTTAATATTTAAATAGTCTTTTTTATCTGAAATTAAAAGAGCTAAATTTTTTAAACAATTTTGAGGTCAATAAAAATATATGCACTGTCACCATCACAAAGACAAATTAGTTATTAAAAATATTATGTTTAAAATTTAGTTAAAATTAGTTTAAAAACATCTTTCTTTATAATGCAATATTTTTAAAAGAATAAAAAATTCTCTGCATTTCGACATCAACAGTGTATATATATATATATGTATATATATATGTATATATATATATATATATATATATATATATATATATATATATATATAGTAAACTAAAACAATGTACATGTTTATCAGTTAATGTATATTTTGTTATATTTTTCTATTATCTTTTCTTTAATTGATTTAAGTTTTAGTTAACTCTAATAACCCTGAGTTTAATGACACATTACATGCGTGTAAAGTAACCATGACCTTGTCTTTGTCCTGAAAAATAGGATTAAGACCACATCAACAGGAAGATTTGCTTCGTATTTGATGTTAAAACATGTTTTTGGGGCATTTTGTAAACTGATTTTTCCTTTTTTCCTCAAAAGAAATGTGATGTTACAACATGCCCTTGACCCCACTGTTTAGTGTTTTGTTAAAGCACTGTTTCATGGTTTGCCCTTTAACATTTTGCATCTGAAATTCTCCATTTGTTTGCTGTGGAATAAAAACACCTTTTATTCCATGTTATATTATTAATATCAGTATTATTACTATTATTAACATCGAAACAGACTTTACTGGTCTTTTCTGAGCTTATTTTGAATGATTCATTGTATATATTCCTAAACACAAATAAAACACACTAACCGGCCACTTTATTTTGTACAACTTACTAGTTTCGGTTGGTCCCCCGTTTTAATTAATAATAATAATAATGATAATAATAATAATAATAAGGCCATAATAGACAGAGGCCAGTGGGCATATTTGGCCAGGATGCCATTATATTGAAAACAAATCATCATTAATCATCACTAAAACAGCCTTGACGCAAGAGTTTAAAAGGTTGGACAAACTACTACATAAAAGTAAATGCATAACACAGCTCATTAAATAATTTTATAACATCTTATTACACTGTACATCTTATTCTGTAATACTTAATACTTATTAAATCATTTATAAACCATTTCAGCTCAGAACAATGCTTGAAAAATGATTTGTGTTTTGTGGCAAGTAGTCTGTAATAAGCTGGATAAAGTTCATCCGGGTGGTGGTTTTAGCAGAATAATGTCCTTCAGTTTTAAACAACAGCTGAAAAGTCTTTCAGGTGTTTATTATGCAATAACAACCTCCTGGATGTACTTCATCTTTTACAAAACATACGTGACGTGTGTGTATGTGTGTGTTTCTACTGACAGTTCAAATACAAAACAACTAAGGGATTAAACTTTTGTTTATGGAAAAGGCTGGGTCAGATGTCCTCAGTCAGGTTTGAGTCTTAAAGAAATGTTATTTAAAATTTGAAACTTGAAAATCGGCATAATAAAATATGCTGAATTATTTGATCATTCGTTTCTGAATAAAGTAACTTCATTAATATTAGAGTTGTTCCTCTGGACACAGTATATTTAGATTTATAAACCCTTAGGCCTATGAACCTATATGCAGTACTGTCCGTTTGTTATCAAACTGACCAACACACCATCAACACTAATCCATTTTACAAATAGTACGTTCACACCAGACGCGGATGTGGCATTGATTGCGAGTGATTTACATGTTAATCTATACAAAGACACGAACAGACGACCTGCGTTGATTCACATGAATGAGGCAGCGTGAATGAGGTTGGTTTGACATGTTTTAAAAATCATTCAAGTTAGAAAATCTGAACTTTAGCATGAGATTTGTGCCGCTTTAACCAATGGGCGTGACTATGACGCTGCGCATATTGTTGGTGCCCCAAGGGAAAATTCTCCTGCCAACACCAGACAACAGCTCATCAAACTGGGCTCAGCTCAATCAGAAGAACCGCTGAAAGCTTCCATCATCCAGGTACAGTTTCTGGAGGTGTTGATGAACTTACAGAGCTCGGTGCAACTTTGAGAGGATTCAGTGGACTCTACGCTTTTTTCAGCCTTCCTAAAGCACATAAAGCACAGTCACTCTCTCAATAAAATCCATGTTAGCTATTTAGCAATGAAACTGAAGTGAGCGGGCAGACAGAAGCCCTGTCAATGATGCGAATACACATCAAATGTGAAGGGAGCCACTATTCTGCAAGAAGACAATCCCTCTAGCCACTGTGCAGGACTTATGTCTGTCATTTCCAAGACCAACTGATGCCGTATTGGCTGCAAACGGAGGGCCCACACCACAAACTAGGTGTTTCAGTAAGCAGCAAGGAAATCTCACGAAGCAAGGTATTTCACTATTCACAAAAACGTAGCCCTGAGCACACATTTCCAATTAGCCTGGATTGGGATCTTGCACTACCCACAGGATATCTCTAAATGAATGAAAGAGCATCACCTACAGATTAATCTTGCCGTAGTTACCCGGCTTTTCCCTTCATTAACCACGATCTGACTGGAGGTTTCGAATACCAGAAAAATAGACTTTATTGAAATATAAAGCAGAGATCATCTGCTATTATCCCATCTACTACAGCAAGGAATCCTGAGGTGATCTTCAATGATCAGCTGTCCTTCAAGAGCACATTGCTAACGCAGCTCAATCATGCAGGTTTTCACTTTACAACATCAGAAAGATCAGACCCTTCCTGACTGACCATGCTGCACAACAATATCAACACCTCCAATATGCTACAAAACATGACATTTGACCTCTATGATTTGCATTCTGCTGCTGACCTGAAACTTCCAGAGGGTTAATTTATTACTGTACACATGAATTCATGCATAGCCATATGTGGCAGCTCAATGCACAGCCATCACTGCTGATGAGCATTCATGATAAGCAATGTGATGCGGTTTTCTGGGGGTACCAACACATTGCGGTCGAGTGTGTTGATGTGTACTTCCACATCAAGTATGCAGAAGTAAATGCATACTGCATCCTCCCCTTGTGTAAAACATCGGTGTGTATTCATTTGCCAGTGTGTGTACCTATAAACAAGGGATGAGTGTGTGAGTAGGAGGAAAGCCTACAAAAGGAGACTAGAGACACCTGAAAACTAAGAAGGAGAAAGAGAAGTGGAGTATGAAACAGTTAAGGGGGATACAGCTCATTAATCAGTAATACACACTTGTTCATTTCCAGATTTTTGCCTTTGCTTGTTCTATAAGAGTGAACGAAGGATTCAGTAGCAGGAGGACCAGCGGGCGACTCTATAGTCAGTGTTTGTCTCTAAATACTCTATTCTGTTGTTCAACATGTTCTTGTTAGTCCTCGTTTGAAATGATGTAGAATCACTTCACATTGAAGCCACTGTTCACTATTTTCCTGCTTCTTCTAACTAATTTTGTTTCCTTCTCTTCACAGACTCAAAGATGGCTCACTCCCTAAGACAGCGATTCAAAGATTACAGGTTAGAGCGACGCATTCGCAAAAACCGACTGGTCACCAAAGATGGCCGCTGCAACATCGAGCTTGGCAATGTCATGCGCAAAAATGGCTTTACCTATGTCCTTGACTTCTGGACCACCTTGGTGGAGACCCGATGGCGGTTCATCATCTTGTATTTTGTGGCATCCTACACCCTTAGCTGGTTCATCTTTGGACTCTTGTGGTACTGGTTAGCAAAAAGCAATGGTGACCTGTTGTGGCAGAATCCATCAGAAGATCATACACCATGCGTTCACAATGTTAATGGTATGACTTATGCCTACCTCTACTCATTGGAGACCCAAACCACAATTGGGTGTGGCAATATATATATCACTGACCAATGTCCTGCAGGTGTGGCTCTGATCATAATCCAGGTGGTCATAGGAGTCTTAATCGGTATATTCTGGTGTGGTATAGTCATGACCAAACTCACCCTTCCGAAAAAGAGAGCCAAGACCATCACCTTCAGCAAATCCGCTGTCATCTGCCCCAAAAAAGGCACTCTTTGCCTTCAAATCCGTGTTGCCAACCTGCGCAAGACCTTAATGATCGGCAGTCAGATTTACGGGAAGCTTCTGAGGACAACAGTCACTGAAGGTGAGACCGTCATCCTGGATCAGGTCAACATTGACTTCATGGTGGACGCCGGGAAGGACAATCTGTTTTTCGTGAGCCCTTTGACCCTGTGCCACATCATTGACAAAAGCAGCCCATTTTTCGACATGGCTGTGGACACTTTGCATCAGCAGGACTTTGAGCTTGTGGTGTTCCTCGACGGCATGGCCGAATCCACCAGCTCCTCCTGCCAGGTCAGGACTTCATACATCCCTCAGGAGATCATGTGGGGCTATGACTTTCTCCCGATCATCTCCCGCAGCAAAGAGGGAAGATACCGAGTGGAATTTTCCAACTTTGCTAAAGTGGTGCCTGTGCCAACCGCTCATTGCTCCCACTGCTACCACAATGAGCCCGGAAACCATCTCCATCTCAAGGGCACTGACAACAAGGGGTTTGAGATGTTTGACATGGAGTCATCAAACAGCACCAAAACTTAATGCTTTTTGAGTGACTGGTGAACATTTCAGAAAACATTCAACACTAATGCTTTATATCTTTCATTGTGGGAATGAAAGGCTAGAGGAGTGTTTCAATATCTTGAGAGGTACATGAGTAGCAACTCTCAGGAATCCATTTCTTTTATTAAATGAACTGCTTTACACTTAGCCAAAACCAATGTGTGTGCCTTACATCTCACAATTGTAAAGTGTGAATTGTAGAGTGAAGCTATGGTTCTGCTTTTCTGTTACTGTAGACATTGATTTTGGAGTTTAAGTATTAACTGGGAATTTATTTTCAAAAGGTACCAAAAAGCGAACCGTATCATTTCACTTTTTGGGTACCCACCACAACAAAAGTGTACCAAAAGCAGAGGAGGCGTACAGCCGAACGCTATTGGTTTACAGACATCCGTCACTAGCTCGTGCACAAGCCAGGAGAATGAAAACAAAGGAAGCACCATTTTTAAATACACAGCTGAGACATTACACCGTAATAATATATACATATAATAATGAGACATGGTCGAACCGAGCTCAAACAAACCTCTTTGTCGTCTTGACGAACAGCCACAAAGCCAAGAAGGAGAGTAGAATCTACCCTGTGCCACGTAGTTGTTATCAAGGTCATCTAAAGCGCGAGCAGTTTCGTTTTCTCACGTGCGTTCGCTGCGCATCTATATTTGCAAATAACTAACTTCGTGAGCTGATGATTATAACATGCATGTGATAACTGAAGTGCTTCTGACATTCAATCCTGTCAGAAACCGACAAACGTGAGAGTGAAGCGTGAAAAAACAAAGGAGAAGCCGGAAAAAGCAAAGCAGCTACTGATTTTTTCAGCAGCCTAAAACATGAACACACTGCCATGTTCAACTATTATCATCACCTTTTGGAATATTATAAACTCGGTATTACGAAATTACTTTCTAACGGAGTCTACATGTGCTGGTGAAGATTAAAGATACGGATGAGAAGTTTGCACTGACTGTAGGCTGTACAGTACGTTGCATGTTGGACTAAATGTATGCTGTGTGTAGTAAATCTGTAACATTTCGGAGACTGTAAAGGGCTGTATGTGTTTAAATATTTTGCATTTATTTATTTATTTTTTATTATTGCAGACGATACAAAGGGCTATTTCACACTATCATTGATCTAAGCAAATCCTAGTTAGGTTAGTAATGAACATTTATACACAAGTATTTATGTGTATAAAGCATCTGTTTTGTGAAAAGTGCCCATATAGCTTTTCTTTGACATTTCCCAAAGCAGGAATTACGTCGACTGAAACTTTCTGGCACACACCACACCCATCAAAAGTACCATTGGTATCCTTTTGGCAGTGGAATTGCAAACCTGAAAAATGTGACCCGTACCATACCGTACTGTGCCACTCAGTGGAAATGGGCCAATACTAAATCTCCATCTCAAATTCCAGCCAATGCTTTTATGCTCTGAATCACTCTGGGGTGCTGTTTCTTTTTACGTTTGTAGATTTATTGTAAATTTGCTAAAATATATTTTATGAAAAAAATAAAAATGAAAGAAGGAATCTGTATTTGGTGTGATTTTTTTTCTCTTGAAAACTCAAAGTTAAAAATGCTCCAGCTGTCAGTCACCACACGAGGGCGCAAAAGACCAAAAACACAGATGACAAACTCAGCTTGACAAAGTTTAGAAAATAGGCTACAGTTCTCATTCATTAACTTTAAAGAGTCCACTTGAAAGTTAATATTGGTTCTGATTTTTGTTTTAATAAATGGGTCATACATTTTTCAAATGTATAAAAATATTTGGTTAGAAAAATTTATTATTTCCAGTATCCAGAACTTTGCCATCTCAGTACTGACTGGAAATGTGTAAAGCCCATAAAAACAACTGTGTGCACAAGAAAATGTTTAGATGGTAATGGAGCACTACTGCCTGCTGCCTTGTCCACCAAAACACCAAACATGACACGACAGAAAATTTAACATCAGCCTCTGAATTCCCAACAAAATGTTAAGGGTTATAATATAATAATACAAATTACACCCCTAACATTATTAAATGTACACAATGACTGATGTTGTTAGGCTGTTCTGACTTTCATTTACAAACCGCTGTTTTCTTTTCAAGATGAGGTAAACTACCTGCTGCTGTTTTAGGTATGGCAATGTGTGATGGAGGTAAAGTTAATTTTATATTCGCACATTCAGACTATCCCCTTAATAATATAATTTCAAAAAAGTATTATTTGCAAACTCTAAATAGTGAAATCATATTAGCAGCCAATGACTATCAAAGTACAACAGTGTTCACAGTTTAATAAAAAGTGTTGTTGTTGTTTTCAAGTCTTGCATGCTAATTTCGATCGCATATTCAAAGTAAAATGGTAAACAATATAGAGATTTCATAATGAACGAATGTGCGAATATAAAACCAACTTTACCTTGTTACAAACCGTTTGCTGTTTTCTTTTCAAGATGAGATAAACTACCTGCTGCTGTTTTAGGTATGGCAATATGTGACGTATGGTGTTTCACATTTGGGAGCATTTGAGACTGAATAAAGCACATTGTTGTACCTGAGGTGATCAATGTCATGCTAGATGTTGTTGTTCAGCCGCGACGTCGAAGTAGCCAATAGAGAACATTGCTAACGTTGACATTCCATGAGGAGCCGTCGTTTGATGGAAAGAACTAATTTTAACGTGGAAAATATCGCTTTTAATTACGTCAATGTGTCGCGTGTAGTTCGGACAGGGGCTTTCTGAATAACTGCATGAGACACCTGCCAAGACTCCCGTTTTTCCCGGGAGTCTCTTGTATTTCAGACCCATCTTCCACCACCCCCCGGTTGTCAGCTTTTTGGTACAGTCTGTAATGCACAGAAACATGTACTGAAGATCGAGCTTTCACGGACGAACTCATCTTACATTTCACTGGGGTATGTGTTTACGTTACTTTCATTGTTATTATTTATTTGACTATATTTCTCACAGAATTTCCACCAAGTTTTTTTTTTATAAATTATCAAATTTTCCCCTTAGCAAAACTGAAACTAAATCCAAATGAATAAATACTCACCAGATTTAATGTGTAATCGTGCTCTTCAGATGTGCAATGGTTTAAGATCAGTCAGGTGAAATATCATGTAGTCTTGACCACACAACCCTGCTGAAAAATCCAGCTTAAACCAGCCTAGGCTGGTTGGCCAGCCTGGTTTTAGAAGGGTTTTGGCCATTTCCAGGCTGGTTTCCACTCATTTCCAGCCTGGTCTTAGCTGGACATAGCTAGTTTTGGCTGGGCTCCCAGCTTGGCTAGGCTAGTCAAGCTGGTCATCTCCCAGCCTGACCAGCTAAGACCAGGCTGGAAATGGCTGAAAACCAGCCTGGAAATGGCCAAAACCCTTCTAAAACATGCCTGGTCAACCAGCCAACCAGCCTAGGCTGGTTTAAGCTGTTTTTTCAGTAGAGAATTGATTCATAAACAGCAGATATGTTGATATCAGAAGCAGATTTTTCATTTGGTCTGTTTTAGCACAAGCGATTTGCTGTAAAGATGACAGTATGTTTATGTGAGTATATTAAATCAGCATAACCCATGTTTACCTCACCACCAGAGCAGTCTCTTTAGCAAATTCAACCTAAACATATTTTTAACTAATGCAAGGTTTTTTTTTAATGTAAAAACATTTATTTTTTCACATTTTATCTATACAAAAACCCTTTTACAAAAGGTGATACTTCATACATTGCAGAAACAACAAAATTAACAAAAAAGATTAATTGCAATATTTCATATATATATTTATATAGTCATAAATTTAATATCCAAATACTTGCATATATAAAATAGGACAATTCCTTCATATCTGAGAGTGATCCCTTATAAGAGATGAACAGCTGGGAGTTTTGTCTCGATGCTACGAAAATAACACAAGGGAAAATGCAAGAAAATAATACTGTCTGAGGCACATACTAACACGATTTGGCTTTACGTCCTTATAATGGCACTTGATTAACAGGAGACTGATTGTCTCTGAGCATGTTTGGTAAGGCATTTGTGTTTAGAGAATAAAAATATCAACTACACATCATCAACTTTCTTATCAAGGCAACGTGCCAAGAAAAATACAAGAAAACATTCATAAACTTATTGCCCATATGTACAGATACAAAACACCTACGTAGTACAAACTACTTTCAGTAACTGGTAAAAAAAAAAAAGGTTTGCATTTTGACCGAGGTCAACTCGTATTAACGTATGATGCTTTAACACTGTCACATATGAAAATAGCTCTGCATAATTTATACAGTAAGATGCTTTTAATGCCTAGTTGAACTTTGATTAAAAAAAAAAAATAATACTAGCAAATAGGTCTGACAAACGCACAGCGTTCGTGAATCTCTGGTTTCATCGTCTCGTGCTGCTGTTTTCAATCTTTTAAAGAGGTACTTTGCATGATGCCCACAATCAGTCGATCAGGAATTACTCGTGAACTTTGGCTGTTTTGAGATGATTCACATGGGACATCAGAAACGTAAATATGATTGGAAGCTTTCACATCCTGACGCAGAAGAGAGCGCTGAAGACGAATACGTGAGTTTAGCTTGAGCCAGTAGCCTGAGAAGCTCCTAATAAACAATCAGACGCCACGTCCTCCATTCGGGAGGAAAAAAATGGTGAATGAATGCCAAGATTTTTTTCCAGTTGCCAGATATGCTTTAGATAGAGAGAGAGAAAGAGTCTCAGTCACAACTTTTAAAGATGAATTTGTGTAACCAAAGGGATGGGGAGCAAGGACTTGGTCCGACAATATAAACACTCGGTTCACAATTGCATTAACACACAGGGTGAGTTTACAGTGATTCATTTTTTCGGCGCTTCGCCGACTTACACATCATACAGGTGGTCTTTATTTGGCAGAACGCAACTATCGGTGCAACTTTCAAGGCTCAAGAAACTTGCTCAAACTCCCCACAACAAACATCAACCCAAGTCCTTGAATAAGTAGTACTCCATTTTGAAGAGGATCAACCGTTTGTGGTCCATTTTTTTGACTTTCTCCTTCTCATCCTTTCAGTCCAAATCCTTCCCTTCTCCATCTTCGAGTGCAGTTCAAGTTTTGGCATTTAAGGGTTTAGTAGTAACTACCAAGGTGTGAAGGCACGTGTGAATTGGCATGGCGTGGGACGCTGGGATTGGGGTAAATACCTCCTGGTGGGGAGCTCCAGTATGGGGTTGTGGGACCGAAGAAGTTGGAGGAGGTGACGGGCATTGACGGAGGGTGAGGAGAGACGAAGTTGACCTTCTGCTGGTGGGCGTGATAGCTAGGCACGTACGGCAGCTCGCTCGGGTACTTGTACATGGTGGACTCGGTGGGATGGGGTTGCAGGGCCTGGGCGATGCCGTGGAAGTCGAACTTGTAGGCGTAGCGCTTGCCGTGCACTTTGGTCATGATGTTCTTGTCGTAGTAGTAGCGCAGGGCTCGGCTCAGCTTGTCGTAGTTCATGTTGGGTTTGCTCTTGCGTTCGCCCCAGCGCCGTGCCACCTCGTCTGGGTCCGTCATCTTGAACTCTCCGTTGGTTCCTTCCCAGGTGATGCAGCCAGCGTTGGCGCTGTCGGAGAGGAGCTCCAGCAGGAACTGCCACAGCTGGATCTGACCTGAGCCTGGACACACACACACATAGGTTTACTAGACATGCAACATATATATCACTAACTAATCCCAACTGGTTATGTTATAGTGGATTTATGAGGGATTTGAATATTATTTTGAAGATTACTAGTGTTGTAAATCGTGAAATAGTGCTTTTTAATTAAGAGAAGACACGTGTGTAAACATAAGTGTTTTAATAATTTTCTATTAACTAGTTTATTTAGTCTTTGCCATGATGACACTACATAATATTTTACTAAGTTTTATTGCAAAATAACTTTTTGTTGGCTAAGAAATATATAAATTTACCTGGGTTAGCAAGTCGACTGCTGGTGGGTCCTAATATCTGATAAGGATCTGAAAGAAGAGAGAAAAGAATCAGAATTTGACCTTTGAACCAGACAGCAGACAAACGTCATGATATAAACTTGAGGTCCAGCATCTGAACAGGTGAAGAAACTCCAGCAGAGACACGAGTGCAGTTCCCAGAAAGGGATAAAAACATGCCACCTGCCAAACGCGTAAATATGAAATATCTTTTAAAAATGTTGTGCGTGAGCTCCAGCTTTACCTGGCTGAGGACGAGGCTGATCCGGGTTTTTGGACACGCTCTGAGAGACCACTGTTGGAGAGCCTGAGAAATGGAAAGAAATAGCGACAGCAGGAGCAAAAGAGAAAAAAAAAAAACATTAAGCACATTCGTCTGGACGAGCAGACGCACAATACTCAGGCCAAAGAAAACAAGGCCAATGTCTGGACGATCTGCTGAGCACTTAATGGCCCTCTTCAGCTCCTCGTGGCCCTAAAACGGTTTAGTGGTTTGATTATGAAAAAAAAACTTGCTGCTTTTTTGGGAAAACCTAATTCTTTTAAGTTCAATCCACTTAAATTTTGTAAAAACCATTAAGTTAAC